ACCCTCCAGCCCTCGAGCCGCTGTGGAGCAGTCCTTGAGCAGCAGTTACAGCAGTTTCTACAGGAGCGGGAACTGCTAAAAGCACAGGTGGCAGAGGTGAGACTTTGCAGAGGGAGGGATGTGGAAGGAAGATGACCCCAGGTGGCCAGGAGCAGGTGAGGACCAGTGACAGCCCTTCCTATCTTCTGGGTCCATTCTTACAGGTGACGGAGTGTCTTAAGAAAGCTCAGCTAGAAAGAGACGCATACGCTCAACAGCTCAAAACAGAGAGGGCGCGGTGGCAGCAGCAATTGCTGAAAATGGCAGGAGAAGTGAGAGCTGACCCTTCAGCCCCCACCTCAGATGGCTCAATGGATCTTCCTGGGGATCTGTAAAATGAGAATAGTCCAGCCAGGGGTGGTCACGGGACTGGTCTTTGTGGAGCTGGGGGTGGAGAGGGAGACGGTAGGCTGTCCAGCCACCAGCCCCTCTCTCCAGAGCCACTTCCCCCTGTGCTTTGGGCAGATTGAAATATTCAAAATGGAGAAAAGACAGGACACAATTAAAATCGAGGAGCTGAAGGGGAGCCTTGCCCACCTACAAAACCATCTGGGTAAGATGAGGCTGGCATGACCAGGGAGCAGGACTGGCATCAGAGGACTGTGGGGGTGGCTCAGAGTGCCCCAGGGAGGTGGGTGGCTGGAAGTGCTTTGAGGCAGAGGGAAAGAGGTCTGTGCCAGGAGACAGCAAGTCTTGTAATCTCCATGAGCCTCAGTGTCTCCATCAGCAGAGGGAGGAGTGCCCGTTGCCAGCCACCCACAGTGCTCTGTATCTGAAAGTGGCTTGGAAGACTGGCTACCATTTGGGTGCGAGGAATCATTAGCAGTGAGGCCAGGTTTGGGGAGCCTGAGAGGAGCTGTGCACCAAGAAGAGTTTTTTGTTTTGAGAATCCAGAGGCCCTTATTGTCTGCTTCCTTTCTCAGCTGAACCCCCAATCCCGAAGCCCCCAGCAGGGCACTCTGACTTGGAGAAGAACCTAAAAACTGAAACCAAGTACCTGAGAGACGAGCTGCGGGAACAGGAGAGACTGCAGGAGGCGAAAATGTGGCTCCAGGAGCAGGAGGTGAGGCTGAGAGAACAGGAGCAGAGGCTTCTTGAGCAGGAGGGGCTCCAGGAGCAGAAGGAGGAGCTGATGTGTTGCCCACCTGGGGACCCTGCTCTCCTCCCCAGCCCTCCGGAACTTTGATTTCCCACCTGTAAAATGGGGGAGTGTATGAAATGAGGCTTCTAAAGGCACCTGTGAGTACAGCCCTGCTCTGATGGCTGTGGGAGAAAGGAGATAATTTGTCTAACCTGCCTCCACCCTTCCCGGTGCCATGAGAGGGAGACACCAAGTTCTGGGGTCTCCAGCTGCAGTGGGTGGCCGCTGATTGCTTCTCTCTGTCCAGAAGAACGAGAACAGGAGCGCACTGCATTTGGAGCAGGAAGGAAAGGAGCTGCAGGAGAAGCTTGGCGAACAGGAGACGGTAACCCCTGCCCCATCCAGGAGGGCTGGGAGGCAGGCACCGGCCTCTGGGGAGGGGAGGTGCAAGGCCACAGGCAGCTCCACCCTGGGGGCAGGTGACCCCACACCCTCCAGGGCAGTCCTGTGACCGTTTCTTGCTTCCTGCCCTCTGACTTTTAGAAGCGGGTAGCCCTGGGCTCCTCTTAGGTCTGGACATCATCATCCCAGCTCCAGGCATGGAGCCCCCCAGTCACAGGGCAAGAGACAGTGGTGTGAGGGGTTCTTTATACTGGGTGTGGTGGCTTACACCGGTGATCCCAGCACTTTGGGAGGCTGAGGCAGGAGAATCACTTAAGATCAGGAGTTTGAGACCAGCCTGACCAACATGGCAAAACCTCATCTCTACTAAAATTACAGCAACAACCACAAGAACAAAGCCGGGCGTGGTGGCACACCAGTAATCCCAGCTACTCAGGGGGCTGAGGCATGAGCATCGCTTGAGCCTGGGAGCTGGAGGTTGTGGTGAGCTGAGTTTGCACCACGACTCTCCAGCCTGGGCCACAGAGTGACACTCTGTCTCAAAACAAAACAAATCAAAGCAAAACAAAATGAAAGTCTCCTTAGATCCAAACTGGATTCTGGCCTCGGTCCCACTGGTCACCATTCGACTACTTTGCATCCCTCAGTCTCTGTTTCTTTAACTTCCAAAGGAAGTTAGCATTTTCCTTGCGTGGGTGCTGAGGATTAAATGAGATGATGCGTGGAAAGCATTAGGCATGTAGCACACTTGGCAGATGGTGGTCGGCTCCCTCTGCTTTTCCACCAGTCTGTGGCCTACAGTTTAAATGGTGAAAGGAAGGACGTGAGGTTTGAGGCTGGGGAAGGAGGCATGGGGCTCTAGGCAAGGGAGGCAGTCTCTCAGGCTGGAGCCAGGGGCCAGGCGCCTGGGCAGACCACCTTCCTCTGTGGTCCCTCCCAGACCCCCTTATGCTCTTGATTTCTCTGCCTTCTGATTCCTCTGGACCCTCACCCCTTCCAGGAGCCAGTGGCCAGACACCTTCATGATTGACAGGTGCACTCTCTGAGGCTCCAAGGGAAGGGGCTGTGCTCCACCTCCCTGCCCTGTCTGTCCTGTGTATGCCCCTAAACGACTGCTCCCCTCTTGCCTTCAGGTGCCACTTCTGAACACTGCTGGAGCCGGTGCCCAGGAGGAGCAGGCACGGCTCTGTGAGCAGCTCCAGAAACAACAGATGTGCTGCCAGCACCAGGCACACCCAGTGGCCTCGGCCCTGAGGGAGCCAGAGGCAGCGGCCGCAGCCACAGGGACTGGGAGCAACCGTGGGTGTGGGGAGACCCAGCGGGCCCTGCAGGGCGCCATCGACAAGCTGCAGGTGAGTGAGTCCTGGCAGGGGCCAAGAAGGGTGGGGGTGGGACTGGTCACTGCAGAGGTGTGACCCCATTATTTCGGCTCCAGAATGACTTCATGGCCGTCGTGAAGGAAAATGCGGACCTGAAGGAGCGGGTGGAAAAACTAGAACTCGGATTCATCCAGCTCTCTGGAGAGAGAGACATGATAAGTGAGCAGGAGGCCAGGGCAGGGCAGGGGAGCTGCAGGGTGCTGGGAGGGGCCCCAGTGTCTGAGCCTGTCCTCCTGCAGGAAAGTCCATCAAACCAAATGACCATCAGACAGCAGTGGCCAAGACCCAGCACCAGAAGAACGATGTTAGCATGATGTCCGAGGCCGAGGAGGGGATGAAGGTAAGGTGTACAACATCTCTGCGGGGGTGAGGGGGATGGGGGTGGGCGTGAGCTTGGGTGCCAGCACCGGCGTGGCAGCTGAGCACCCCTATCTCCAGGTGAAGCCGCTGGAGCTGCAGGGCCCAGTGATGCAGCTTATGATCGGCCACGAGGTCCAGCACCCTGCTAATGATTCCACTCCAGGGGCCCCAGCCCCCCAGGAGCTTGGTGCTGCTGACAAGGATGGTGAGTAGAGCCCTCAGGTGGGGTGGGCAGGCAGGAGCAGAGGAGGCTGGCACTGCGCTCAGATCCCCGCCTCCCTCTCTCCAAAGAATTTTATGAGATGAGCCCGGACGACGACAGCGACAGCCTGGAGCCTGCAGTAGGGAGGGTACACCACACCCCACTGCACCGCAGATGGCTCAAGGCTGTGTGAGCTGCGGGATGGCCAGCAACACCGACCCTTGGGCAGCAGTCCCTCTATGCCATGCTTTTACCCCACTGCTGCGAAGGAGGAGGTAAACATCACCATCAGCTAAGAGCTGGCCAAGAAATTTACGGAAGTAAAGGAACAAAGTTATACAGTTAATCTTCTACATGTTACTTTATTTCAATGTTAGAGCCACTCATGATGATTTGTGTTTCTAATTTATAGTTTATTTGTAAAAAGTTAAAGGACAGTGGGTCTTCGTGTGGCTTTCACTGATGTTCACTCTGGCATCCTTTAGCATTTTTCATTTTTAATTTGATAATTGTAGGTCATTAGCATGCCTACATGTGGTGGGAGTTCAAACACACAAAGACCCACTATCGGCACAAAACCATTCTCGCTAGTTTCGAATAGGCTGCCATGGTTTTTAACGTTATTGCAGCATGTATATTCACTATGGAATTCAGATACAATTTGCTTATGTTCTGCTATGATAGTTGATGGAATCCTGATCACAGTGAGCTCTTAATTAGCTCAATATGTGCTTTGCCCTCACGTGCACACTGTTTATTATTTGTAAGGTGCCAATATGAGTACTGACATTTAGAGTTGTTGAAAAGCCGAGAACTGGAAACAGCCTTTCTTCTATGTTCTCTGTATTGCAAATGGGAGTAATAACATTTTTGGGAGCTTTTAAAATCTCACAGAAGAGGAAAGTGGCCTGCTCTGGCAGGTATGTGCAGAATAGAGTATTTCATTCATTCCCATGCCAAGAACGAGCACTGTGCTGTGGCAGTTCTTTTAGGGTTTTTCTGTGTTCTGGGCTCATGAAGATACTGCATCGTGAGCTGCGGCAGCTGTACTTTTTTGATGACCTAAAAAGGGATGATTTCTGAGGAATAAAAGGCTCCCATCTTTGACTGTGGATATGGAAAACCTTTCCTAGCTTAGAGCATTTATATCTATAATACGTTGTAAAGTCAGTGTTCATGTTGCCTGTTTTAAGCACATGACTCCAAGTCTCAGTACACAAAAGGGCACTACTTAGCATTCTTCTTAATGTATTAGTAAAGATCATAAGAAATCCTTTAAGATAAAGTGTAATATATACATATATGAATGGAACTTTGTATCATAGAGTGGGTAGGCATTAAATATTGATGACTGAACAGTTAATGTTTCAGGACACTTTTTATAGTGCCTTGCACACAGAAAGAGACCACAGATGAGATTATCCATTTGTATCATTTCACAATTTTACAAATTGCTATTTATTACAGTTCACATGGCAAGTTGCTGATAAAATGTCCGTTTTTATAAAACATCTCCAAAAAAAAAAGAGAGAAATTTTTTAAGAGTTTGTGTCCAGAAAAAAAACAGAAAATTAAAAAAAAATTTTTTTAAAGTTTAAATGTCCCTAGAACAGGCATACAGGTTCTAGTCAAGAATGAACTAGAGTGCAGGAAAGCCGTGTGACACCTGGCATCCCTCTGTGATCATGGAGCTTCTTTGAGGCTACAAGACTGATTTGACCATCCAGACTTCTCTGGCTCATACCTATTCTTCAACCACCTTGGTTACTCTGACATAGGAATTGCCTTCTTTTTCTTGAATAGAAAGAACTTTAAACAATAATCACAAACAAAAAATAATAATCACAGACATTATTATAAACTAATATATGTGAGAGTACTTGGCTGAAACAAAAAGGAGTTTCAGTAGACAGAATTGTACTATATTTGAAAATCAAGGAGAAGTTTATGCAACTTAAAATGTTTATAGACTGCATGCCATCTACTGTTTGTGAGTGTCAAAGTATTATCAGGAAAAGTGTCTGTACAATCACAGTTGTATTTCCTCACCAAGTTCTTTACCAAGAGTGAAATATGTTTTTATACCTTTCGGTTTCAGTTAGAGGCATATTTTGTGCAAGATTTATGTTAATGTGCCTCCACATAATGAATGAATTCTTTCAGTCAGGCATTGCCTAAATCATAACTTTATGATGCTTGGGAAAGAATCAACAGTTGAAACTTCATGAAGTTCTAATGTCTGTGTGCCAAAATACGTCCCATTGTTAGGATGGAGGGACATATGTATGTGTGCTCCCTGAAGTGGAGATTCCTAGTTACTGACCATGTCCATGTTTAGCATTTGGCATCTTCATGATACTTTCATAAATATGACATTAATAGGAGATCATTCATAGGATTTTACAGATGGAATAACACATTTGCCTGCATTCCCTGAAAGAGTATAGATATTG